ATATACAAACATACATACACGCACAAACGTACCGTGTACATTAAAATTTTTATATAAAATTAATTTATGTCAAATACCTATACACATATATATATTATATATACATATATCATACCAGCCAGTAGCGATGAACAAATATTCCAAAGTAACGATCATGCCAATGCTACATTGTTTGGTGAATATGAATCAATCATCTCTAGATTTATAAACGCGCGTTTTCCTAGTGCACCTATATTCATACGATATGAGTTCATAAATAGGTAGAGTGAGAACGAACGTATAAGAAACGATTCCACGTTTGCATCTTTTGGGCGTAAAGTATTTAGTACATGGAATATGTCGTTCTACTTTCTTTTTTTCTTTTGTTTGATCCCATCTAATTGCATATAATTGATTAATCAATCGATTCCGATTTATTTTATGAATTCAATTTTTTATTATTTTTTTATTTATTTATTTATATTTATTTTTTGTTTTTTTTCAATTTTCGTGTAAGATATGTATGTAAAAATAATAAAAGCTTTTGTTATTGTGTAATTGTGCGCTTTGTCCCTTGTGTTAGTAAAAGTTTTTTGAATTTTTCAATTTTGACTTCTAAAGCTTCTTGACGTTTCTTAACCAGCACCAGTTGCGTTACAAGGGTTTGTGCAACAATAATATGCAACAACACCCAGAAAGATTTGAGATAGACGCATTTTTTATTATACTCGATCGACCGATTCGGGATCATTTTCTAAATCGATTTAAGCCTGTCCGTCCATCAATCCGGTCTGACGTCTATCTATGTATTCCTTTGTTCAACCTAGAGGTCGCAAATTTTTGGGATATTTTGATGGTATACCAAGGGCAAACGACCTTATTTTTGTACCCTACACCATTCACGGTACAAGGGGATATTAGTTCTGCGCGGGTGTATGCCACATCCAAACGCCTCTGGCATAAACCCACATTTTTGTTGTACACAGAAATGATGCAGAATCATTTCCTGAATCGATTTAAAATGATCTGTCCCTCGCTGCGTCTTATTCCACCCGTTGACCGTAGTTTTTAAGATCTTTTAATGAAATATGGTAAATTGACTTGATTTGACCCAAAATCAAATGCTATTGAAAATGATTCGGATCGGACCATTTTTCCGAGCACTTCCCATATAATGCCTTATATGGGTATAACTCTAGAATGGCGTAGGGTATTTAATGGTGGCCCGTCACCAACTGAAATTGGATATTTTGAGAATTATTTTAATCGATCTTTTAAATTTATTTCATATTTAGTTAATTGCATGTGCAATCATTTTACCTAATGCCGAGCAAATTTTGGAGAGGCGGGCGACATGAATTGCAGGTAATATAAGAAATGTTTCTTCCGCTTTCATAGAACAATGCAGCAACCTTTACGAATTTTATAACTCCATTTTGAACAGATTTATTTCCAAAAACAAACAGAAAAGGCTTTTATGCAGCTACAGTTGAAATTAGAAATTGGACGTAGGTTTAACGTACGACGGTAAAGGATGCCTTCTAAAAAAAAAGCAAAACGAGGTTTTTCTGCGAGAGAAATGTCGCATCATTCACCTCACGACCAATTTCTAAAACTTCCACGTCTCAATGCATTGATTTTTCGTCAATAAACTCGAGAAACTAACCGCTCATCTCATGCTTACAAAGTATGTATAAAAAATAAGTTCTGTAATTCAAATTTATTTAAAAAAAAAAAAGAATGCATTTTTTGTTCCAAAGTTTAATAGTCGAAATATCCGTCGTCAGTAGCTACAATTTTTTACCTCTTTTCGGGCACATCTTCAACTTTACACAACTGCTGATTTGCCAAGTACAACCATCTGAACCAGTGCTAATTAGAAGCAGGAAGGTTTAGAAAAAATATTGCTAACAGGGAGAAGCGTAGCTTCCCGCCCCAAATTGAAGATCGCTTAGTGGATTGCTTTTACTTGAGACGGATGAACCAACGCGAATTTAATCGTTTTCAAGAGGGAAAATTGTTTTAGCAAAGCAATCTCATAATTCTCTTTCTAAATATCTCATAATAGCTTAGTGTATGTTCACTTCAACCGGATTTGAATTTTGTCTTTGTTGGCCAAGCTTAGTATACTACCTACGTAGGGGAATCAAAAGGTTAGCTTGGAACTTGCTAAAATGGTAGTCACTTTGAAATATCGACACGTGTCATTAATAAAATGTCAGCTTGTTCGCTAGTGATGGGAGATAGATCACGCTCCTTGGACACGCACATTTACCCTTAACCCTAGCCTTGGTCTCCGTTCGGTTCATAAATAATGAAATACATCCCTTTACACTTTGATACACGATGAACGACAGTTTGCAAACAGCAAAATTTTCGGAAAAAATGAACGCATCGATGAGCAGCTTTCGATGATGTAAGCAATTTCAAGCAAGTTTTATATGTACAATATTTGCCTGTAATTTTTTTTTTTTGTAATACCTTTTAAAGCGAGCGCAAGAGAGGGGGAAGTGACAGAGAAATTCGTGACAAGTTAGAAGGCCAAGGCCTTGCTTGCTGTGTGGTAAGTAAAAAACAAAGAATAATGATGAGCAGAATTCACGGCGATGACGACGCAGATCAAAATTAAGTACAGCGACGATAACAAGGTCGCTGAAGTGAAAAAGGAAAAAGTCTTCTCGCTTGATCTCAAAATTGATGAACAATGCTCGGCTTCCTTTAGGGAGGACATTAAAGCATGACCTGCATGGGCAACGTTTAGATTTTATGCAAAAATATGATTGCCATTATCCTTAAAAGAAATGATTTCGAAACGACGATATCATCAAGAAGCAATCGTAATTTGACGTGATCACGCTCAGAGAAGAGCATATACTGGACTTAATAAAAAGCGTGAAGAATGTTAATCGATCCTGTGAAATGATAAGACTACACTCTACATCTATAATCCACCACAAGCTATATGATTAATGCAAAATATTTTATCATCATGTTCATGTTTCCTAATAGGTTTTTTAGTTTTGGAAAGCATTTTGTTGGGTAAAGGATAAAAATTTCTTCTCTTCTTAGCTCTGCACAATTTTGCTGCATTGTATAAAAGCGCTTTATCTAATTTCATAATGACATGGTAATGCCGTATATTTGTATTTTACAATAAATATATGGTCAAGCTATGAGAACCTTTTTGTTTAATCCCTAATTCCTCTCCATCTCTTCCTTAGTAAATTAAAATCAATTAGGTTAATAGGTTTTAGTATAAGGCACAGAATATTCGAAATATTGAAGATCTTCCTGTTTCGATTCGATCAATCAACCATTCCCTTATGTGTAACAAACATAAAAGTATTTTTTAATTAGCAAAGAGGTAAGATCTACAGACTCCGATCGTAGATTTAGAAAATGATTTGTTTATCCAATGTAATCTGATGCCGATCGTTTTAGTTCCCAAATTTTAACCTTTATTGATTGGAATTAAATACAGGGATAGTGGAGTGTGGGTAGGGTTCTCAAATGTTTTTGTGGCAATGAGCAAAGTTACGAAATTCAGCTGCACAAAGAGCAGTGTTGTTTACACTTTTATAATTCTACATTTTGTGGTAACTGGTTCTGCGGACGTAAAGACACAAAAAGTGTAGTTTTCCTCGGCGATGCTAGGCAGAGTAAATAAGAAAAATTTTGCTCTGAGTTTGATGGCGAGTTAAAATTTTAAAATCAAGGAAAGTCGACTATAGAATACTGCACACTACACTTCGGCTAATAAAATTCTCCATTAAACTCATGAAAGATATTATTGTTATATGAAAACTTACTATTCATGAGAACCTCTACATGGGAGGGAAATGAAAACTCAAACTGGCATGGATTACTAAATTTTGTAAGGTTAGCTTTCTTTTTAAAGAGCGTGCTATTCTCAAATATCAAAGGTTAAACTGTGCTGCTATATAAAGCCTCACGAAGACACGAATTAAGGTATTGAAAAAACTGAATCTACACGTTTCAAATTCCCCAAATTATTGTTTTGGACAAACTTTCATCATGTAACATTAAAAATTGCATCTTGCATTGCCCCATATATGTATTAGAGAAAGGTAGATATGCCAATAAAGCTTATACGATGGAGAGAGATGGAGTTTGTCGGAGGAGACGCTCGCTTATCATTCAAATTTTGCACATTTATTTAATTTTTTAATTTTTCTAATATGTCACAAAGCACTATGTTTTACTGATTTTCTTCAAGAAATATTAAAAACGATATATACATTTTTCATATACCGGACCTTCTTCACGTGCGGTAAACGTAGAGATGATCACCTGCTATCGGTTTCTATGTAAATTTCGTTTTCCAGCCAAGAGATAGTAAACTATACATGAGCCGGACAGACAGACAAGGCTCAATCGATAGAATAAAAAGTCAAGTCTATTTCAAATTATCTTCCAAGTACTGCATATATTTGCGTACATAAATTAATACGTATAAAAATCCGGATAAATTCGTAGAATAATCGAAAAAATAAATTTGAAAAAAAAAAAAGAAAAAAACAATTTACACGCAATCGCGAAGGTATATTTGAGGTATCATTGTACATTTAATTTCGTGCTTTCAATAGAGTCGTAATCCTTAACAATTTGTAACATTAAAATTGAATTTAAAAAAATAAAAGAAAAAAAAAAGAAGGATCGTGCCCCACTAAAATACTTACAAATATACTGTATTTGCCGAATTCAAAAGAAAAAAATCATTTTGATCCGATATAAACTGGATTTCAAATTTGAAAAACTCATTCTTTTTTTTTCTTTTTCCTTTGATAATTTTGGCCTAATATTATACTATATGTATGTATGTACGTTTGTATATGTATAGGAGATATGTATGGATGTCCACATTATATATATATATATATATATATATATATATATATATATATAACAAGATCGATCAACAATAATTAAGTCTACGCTTTCGAATTTTTTTTTTTTTTTAATTGTTTTTGCATTAAATATATTTGAAAATTTTTTTTATTGAGAGAAAAAAAAAAAAAAAGAAAAATTTGCTTTATTGTTTTTGTTTTGAGAGTTGAGTTTGTGCCGATGTTGTCAATTTCGAAACGACTCGTGTTAGAGCACGATTTTCAGCACGTAAACGTTCATTCTCATTCTTTAGCTTCTGCAGTAGCTAAAATGACAGAAATTAAAAACAAGAGAGAGAGAAAGAGAGAGAGAGAGAGAGAGAGAGAGAGAGAGAGAGAAACGAAAAAAAAGATAATGGAAAAAAAATTTTGATCAATGATATTGATTGACTGGTTTGACTGATTTGTTGGTGGTGGTGGTAGTGGTGGTGGTGGTGGCGGTGGAAAAGGTGTAAAATGTCGATATATAGATTTTTTTCTTCTTCACAACAAACACATTAACATGAAATGGGGAGCATAGATCGGCCGGCGGCAACAGACCAAAGGAGCAGGATTCACATGAAATTTATAATGAGTTTTGAGAAAAACATACATAAAGCATACTTTTAAGTTAAGGCATGCCGGCAAAAAGCTTTCTTTTAGTTTAAAGTACAAGTTTCCCGTTCGCCAAAATAATTAATATTATATATATATATAAATATATATATATATATATTTCTTTTGTTTTCCTTATAGACTATGTATGCCTGGAATTGCATGAATAAAAATGATATCTTTACTAATTATGGTGACATCTTACAGAACCTATAATAATAATAATAATAATAATGAAGATAGAAGAGCATTGCAGCATAACAATGTTACGAATAAGGATATGGAAAGTTAACACTACTACTTATTGAAATTCTCTGATTTGTTTGTATTGTTCATAGCTTAAAATAGAAATCAAACACATCACTCAAATAAAATCGTAGGAGCAGCGATCCTTTTCTTTTTTTTTTTTTTTTGCAATTTCCTCATTTAAACGCGCTTATAATGCTATATAGTGGTCAATATTGATCCTTTATCGCTTCTCAAGATAGCCGATCAATATTATACCGTGCGCATCCACGATACAAGCACCACAACCATTTCAGGTAATTGCTTTTGCCTCTTTGGTTGTTTTGGAAGGCTATCGGCGGTTGCTCTCCACGCGAATACAGTGATGAATCATATGCCATAAGAAAATCCTTTCTTTTATTTCAACATCGAAGACACTATTGTTTTAATGCGAAAGTAAGCAAATGCGATACGCTTTTCAAACGGAGCTCTCTCGTGGAGAAATGTTCATTACAAAATAATATATGCACACTGCCTCGTCAGCAGCCATCTCACGCAAATCCACCTTTCGCTCCTCCAGAAATGATTTTAAACATTTTTTTTTTTGTGTTTTCCAGAATAGTCACCAAATTCGGGGTTGTCATCATCGGCCGCGAACATTTCCCTATCATGTCGCGATGGAGCAGAGTTCGAAATAGCACTTGCAAAGCGAAGCGTTATGAGCATACAAAATTCCAATTTTTCACTTATTCTGAAAATTATCCAAGTAGCATCACTGAAACTATGATAAGCTGGAAAGTAATGTTAACAAGTTTGATTATCTAAATATCATATGTGATTCGATATCTATATGTCCTGTATCCTACGAACTTATTGAGTGACGTATTACATCAAATAAACACAGTTAAATAGAAAATCATGACGATCGTCAACAATTTAAATATTTTCTTTTTCTAATTTCGATCCATGTGTCTGGATATATTCAAAGCGCGACAAACTGAAATAGGACCTTGGCACATATATGACATATGTGATTTAAATTAACTGAATAGTAGATAGAGAAGATTAATGTAAGCTAATATTTTTTTTGTCTTTAACGGCTTTTGACCACGACTAGATGCAATAAAAAATTGCGATCAACGCGAACGTTTCTATTTATATCTGGTTGTTGTCAAGGAGTAATTCATTTAATGAAATCTGATTTTCTGAGAATTTCTCAGCCTTTAACATCCTAGAAGTATGCTTTCTGTTTTTTCCGTCAATTAATTTTCATCATTTACAACGCAGATAAATAATACTAGGAAAACCTAAAATCATCTATTAGAAACTATGCATTCACGAAACACTTGCAATAAAACTTCTACTGTAGAACTTCTTCCTTGTTAGAATTCGCGTTTCACTTAATACCCAACCAATCAACCAACCAGCCAACCAACCAACGTAAATCATTTTCGTTTCAATTCATTTGCTAGATCAGTATGTATGCATCGAACTGATAAAAAGAGAGAGACTCAAAGGAATGTGCGTCAATGTTGCAACTTGCTGTAATAACCAGAGCGGACAGAACTCTCCGGCCGACCTATTATATATACAATTGGTGCACAAGAGATATAAATTGAAAGAATTACGAAGAATGCAGGGATTAAACGAGGTATAGATGAATGATAGATATGCGATAAATGAATGAATCAATGACTGCATGAATGTGTCAATTGGGAAAATGTGAGTTGACATATTTAGTTACATACATATTTGGTTGGACAAAAATTGAAAATATAAAATAAAGGAAAATAGAAGAATTGATTGTGCCTACGATTACACCAATGTATTCAAAAAATACAAATTCCATGAGTTTTATGCTTGAAGTTGTTTTGTTCGTTTTTTTCCCCTTATTTTTCTGTTTTGTTTGTGAAGAAACCCGAATAAAAAAGCAAACAACAGTAAATAAATAAAAATGATGTTATTATTGTTTCAGCAACTAAAATATGATTGATTGCAAAACATACAAAAACGTAAAAAAAAATAAAAAAAAACAAAAACAAACAACAAATAAATATGTCGAAGGCGATATATAAGGCAGTATAAGCAATACAAAAATGTCTTGCAAAAAAAAAGGTCTTGATAAAAATAAAAAAACAATTGATAATTGTGTAGTGAAGGGGTATTCGCATTGCTCGAAATATAGGCAAAGAGAGCAGAAAAAAAAAAAATTATAATTCGATTTTGAATGAATCCGTACAATTTATATCCTCTATCCAAAACTTTTACAAAATAATTGATATACACATGTGAGAAGTAAGTTCACTTCGTATACTTTCAGGTCCTTTTTGTACGCGAGAAATTCCATTTATCAAATATTTTAGTGAAGCCCCTTTGGCTTCTTCTTCTTAACACTTAAACCAGTAAGTCATTTCGTCGATCTTCAAGAAAAATGACTATTCTGCACATATAATATTCGAAAAATTATTGATCAAATTTTTTTTTTATAGGAAAAGATCTTCAAATATCTATCTATCATCCACCTGTTCTCCGTGTCGAGATACCGATGACATATGAGAAGTTAAAACATTTGATATAAACATTCGTTAATCGATTAAGAATGGCCATGATCTGCTTATATACGCTTACCTACAATGTAAGGGGGAGAGGGGGAGGGGGAAAGGAGTGAAACAATCTCGGGAAAAAATACGATGTTCTTCCATTTTTTTTTGACTGTATAACTTTCCAGTCGGTAACGATATTTCGAAAAACTTGCTACTTGAATGTTTGTTAGATTCAATTTTTGCTTGTTCGACGTCGTCTACCATCGACGATAATTTGTTTGCAATTGAATGATGAAGAGAAAATGTTAATGGACGTTAAGGGAACTTGGTAATAGATTGATATTAAAATGTGATGATTGGACCGAACACGGATATTTAAAACGCAGATTTTCGGAGATATATCTTCTTCGCGTGCTCAGAAGTTATAGATGAAGATATGAAAAACTTTTTGGTGATTTTTCCGAGATTATCTTATATTCTACATTATTGTGGGTGCAGGTTCAACCTCTTATCTCCTGTTTTGCGATTATGGCAATTTCGAAAAAAATGAGATCAAATTGATCCCTTTTGGTAGAAGTAGATATTTGCAGTATGCCGGTTATCTAGTGTTATATGATATTAAAATTTCGAAAATATCAATTCTGTGAGCGTTTGAGAAATAAAAGTTAAACGTTATCTTAGGAGCGGTGGTGGGAGGCGGGGGGACTCTTATTTTTATTCTGCATTATTCTGTATGCTTGAGATTTTTGAAATTTTCAAATCTTTAGCGAAAAGAGCCTAGTAACCTAGGGTTCCCTTATATATAGCTATCTAATTTGAAACTCATTCGGGTAGTTTCCACTGACTAATTATTTAAACTATTGCAACCTGGTCGTGATCTATAAATATTGTGATAGTTTCAAACATAAACATTAAAAAAGCTATTATATTATGCTGGTTGAAGTGATGTGTGATTTTAGCCTGCCTATAAATAGGCAATGATATGTTTTATATATCAATTTTTTAGAGAAATGAAAACTTTTCTATCAAAATCATACGGAAATTGTAAAAAGAACCAAAACCGTTACATAAAATGAACATAAATCTCTCTCATAAGAAGTTTATAAATTTAAATTAAAAAAAAAACAAAAAAAAAAAAAAAAAGAGAAAACTAAAGAGATAAAACCATAGAGAGAATAATTGGTCATCTATACATATAATTATATATATATATATATTTTATTTTTTCTTTTTCACAAAAGTATTGAAGAGTGAGTGGCAAAGCGAATTATTTTGTTAATTTAAAAGCTTTTTTGTTTTGTTAAAAACTTGTATAACACACAAAAATAATATTATAAAACAACAAAAGGAAAAAAGTTTTCAAAAAATATGTGGATAACATTTTGTTGTTGGCTGCTGTTGGGTTTCTGGTGTATTTATTATTATTGTTAAAGTGTTAAAACTTTTTTTTATTTGATTTCAAACAGACAGAGCAAGAGAAAGAAATAGAGAGCGAGAGCAAAAGAGAGAGAAAGAGAGCGAGAGAGAGAGAAAGAGATAGTGTGTGTGTTGGTGGTGGAAGAAATATACATAGAAAAGCAAAAGACAACAAAGCATCTCATTGGTATTTACCTTTAACTCTTCTTCCAATTCAGAAAGTTTGCGTTCCATAGTTCTCCTTTCACGTTTTTCAATCTCTGAGAGTGAATTTTTAGTGGTCTGCAAAAATTAAATTTGCATTTTTTCTTTTCTTTTTGATTTGCTTGGTTTGTTGTTGATTTGATTTTTGATATTTGATATTTGATATTTGATTTTTGATTTATTTTAAAGGAATACACAACAGCGTTAATAAATGTTTCTTTAAATATCGTGATCAATACAGAGTGATTAATATGTATATATACATTAATATATAGAGGAAGAGACGAAAAAGCATTAAAAAGAACCGAAAGAAAATAAACTTCGTTAACACAACCAATCGTTTGTTTCATAAACACAACAAACAACACAATCAGTTTTAAGGGAAATATAAGAATATTTTTCTTTTTTGAAATTTTTGAAGCAAAAGTGACTTTTGCAATTTTCTACTTATTAAACTGATCCCTTTCTTAAGCAGATTTCAGAGACAAAGCGAAATAGATAAGGACACAAAAAGAAAAAAAAAAAAAAAAAGAGAGAGAGAGAGAGAGAGAGAGAAAGAGAGTGAGGAGAGAGCGTGAGAAAGAAACAGTGGGGTGGGAGGAAGAAATCCTTTTCAAAGCAACTCACAGAGAAATAGCTGATACAGAGAGACAGAGGGAGAGAGAGAGAGAGGGACAGAGAAGAGCTGATAATATTTCTCTTCTTTTATTTTATTTTTATAAAAGTTATACATTTGTCATTCCGAAGCATGAGAAAAAGTATAGTATTTTTTTTTTTTTAAGTTTTATTTTTAAATACTTACGGCATTGGCTAATCTCTCAAGTGTGGCTCTGGTTTGTGTAATCTCCTCGTCTTTTTTCTTCAATTGCTGTTTGAGTTTTTCATTTTCCATTCTTAAAAAAGAAAAAAAATTATTGTCTTAAGACCGATACATATACTAAATAAAACAAAAACCCCAAAACAAGGTGAGAACAAGGAAAGAGCCTTTGCGGGTATCCGCCATCCATAAAGCTTGCCCTTAACAATCAATCTTAAGTAACCTTAAGCCTAACCACACTAAAATAACAATGAAAGCATCATTGGCATACATCAAGTAAACCTCTCCATATTTCCCTAATGAAATCATTATGTGATTACTTCAGGATTTATGGAATTTCTCTCACTTTTGACTCTCACTTTTCTATCTTTTGGGGGATATCGGCAGAAAGCAACACAAATGATAATTAGAAAGGTGAAAATCCATCTTATACGGTGATTGCATTCAAATTTCTTAGCTAATGCCGAGTCATTAACAATGTCCATAAAATCTCACACTGCCATGATGGATGATGATATGATGCTTTACTTCGATTAACGTCTCGACAGGCCAGTTTGGAGCTGCTCATAAAACAAGAATCCCTTCGAACCGGGTCAAGCCCGAAGCATTACCTCTTTACATGGCGTCAATCCAAGCTTTGCTGTCATTTACGCACTTTCATATAGTATATCCCAAGAGTTCATTATTATCATGATTTGTTGGCAATGCCTTCAAAAATGGCTAGATTTTCTTTCGTTTGAGTAGCGATTCTTAAATCAAAGCTCAATCCTTTCAATTTTTCTCTTATTAATTTGTTTAGTATGCATGGTTTGAAAATAATTCTTTGGTCCCCGCTTAGTTCAATTTCATATTGTTCCTCAACGATTCTCAACGGTTGACTGGGTAGTATCAAAACTTCTCTAGTGACAGAGAAAACGTTTGCGGGTAAAAAAAAAAGAGAAATTTTTGCATTCTAACTAAAATTAGATGCACGCGATTGTTTTCTTTACAATTACTGAAGAATCATTCATAGAAATTGTTATCATACTATCTCCTGTATTGGATGAGTTATCGGAAAAACAGGAAAACTTTTTACTTGTGAAAGCAGAGGAGGTGAAAACAAGTAGATAAATAGACGAACAGACAGACGGATGTGTCGGAATTGATTCAGAATTTAAGGCCTCTGGGAGGCTCTCTTCTGGATGAATGTACTCCCGCATCCCACATTATACTTTGGTGGTCGTAAATATAAAAATGAAATGCCTGGCTATAAAGGCGTTACATCGATGGATACTATTAAATAAATACCTCAGACTATGATTTTTTTCTCTGCGTTATGTAAATGAAGTAAGAAGCTTTTGTACTCCCGCTGATTGACCTTCTTCAGCAATTTGTGAGAGAAAATTGTCGTTAAGACTCTGTCGTTCGTCTTCAAATAATGGGAGTTAAGAGGCCTCTGCTGAGATTCGATGTCATCGTTCCGCCGGAATTGCGATATATTAAGCAGTCTTTAATTGAATTCGCAGCAACAATCAACTTTTTATAATCATAGATAGGATCGTTTCGATTATTAAATAAAATATCAAGAGGCCAAGCATTAATCCAATACAAAAAATCCTTTCTTCAGTCAAATATATAGTAGGCTATTTTCAAGCACCAACTTTGACAATTCTCAGCCCATCGAAAAGAATGTAGTATAGCTAGCTATAGATACGCTTACTCAGACATTTATAGCTAAAAACGGTTTCAATTGTTTTTTTCTTTGCCTTATAATTAATCTGACCAGTCAACCCCAAAATGATCAGAGCCGTGTAAAATTGACAAATTAAAAAGTAAAAATTTTCCAATGTTATTGTGTGCGTAGAATGAATAATCACTTACTTGACGGCTTCCCAAAGTGCTTTATAATCAATGTTATCAACGCTTTCAGATCTATCATTGGCTTTTTTCTCATCCGAGGCAGAGTTCGAAGATGCGGAAGGGGTAATTGAACTTGTCAAGCCGGCTAGACGGGAACGAGATGGTTGCCGGGACTCACCGCCACTCTAGATTTGCATAGAATATAAATAATTTAAGAAAACGTATAGAAAAAACCAAAACAAAAAAAAAAAATAAATAAATAAATAAAAAAAATTCCAATATATTTATGAAAATATGGTGTATACATGTATATATGAATGCAAATTTCTCTTTATCGTGATATATATTATATAAACATTATTTGCACGTACTTCGTAACCTTCACTTTTCTCCGAGGAAGCGCTAAGAGATCGTTGGGCTGCACTGCGTGAACGGGAACGAGTACGAGATTTACGCTCTTGTTCTCTTAATGAATTGCTACGAGAGACAATGGCTGCCACAGATGGTGAATTTGTGCCCGTTATCGTCCCATTAACATTAGCCGATGGGTGATGATAGGCATTTAAATTACTACTCGACGATGACAGGGATTTGTGTAGCGACCTACCAGCAGTTTGACTATATGAATGAGGAATTTTGAAGGAATTGGATTTGGTTAGTGAAGTAGATCCACTACCGTTTTTCGAAGAACCCATATTAAAACTAAGTGAGGCCGTGGTTACACCATTATCATATGCGGAGGCGTAGGGATGGCTATGGCTATAGCGGTCACTGCTGTATTGTGTATTTGTATTTGTTGTATAACGTGAGGAAGAGGACTGGGGCTCATAAACGTTTGACGCTGCAGAGGAAATTGAAATTTTTGAATTGACTTCAATGTTGCATTGATTGACGGTATGGCCATATGCTGAATTAGAAAGAATTGAAGAAGCGCTATAAGCTGATGATGATGATAGCGATGATGACGAAATAGAGGGCTTGGAATTTAATAAGGAATCTGGGGTAGTGGGTGCTGAACGCAAATAAGATTTAATAATTTTTGCAGGACTCTTTGAATTATGTTTATTGTTATTATTATTATTATTATTATTATTATTATTATTAATAGAAGATGAAGAAGAAGATAACATTGATGATGACGATGGTATGTAGGAGGTAGAAGCACCAGCAGTAGTATTATTCAAATAAGCGCCAGATTTGGAGGCGGAAGATGGCAAAAAAGCTACAGTAAATATATGATGATGCAAAAGTTGATGATTCGGTTGCTTTTGTTGATTAACTTTACAATTATTCTGACGATAGCTGCTCGAGCCGTTGCCGTTGTTACTATAATAATCATTCCGTCCACCACCGGCACTAACCGTCGATGCAGTAGAATATAAATTATCTCTTGGATTATAAACACTGGAAGCATAAGGACTTTGATAAAATGAACCATTGGCGACGACACCATTCTGATAATATCCTGTGCTTAGAGGACGCGAGGCGATTGAACTGTAACCGCTGTTTGTACCCGAACCACTGAAATTATAGCTACCATTGCATTGAGCACGGGAACTGGATAATGAGCGGCGACGCGTTGTTGGTAAAGGTTGAGTAGTACGTGATCGCGACCGAAATGACATTTTGTTACAGTTGTTTGCAGATAAAGATAATCAAACTAAATTTCACTTAACGATCGATCGTTTTTTATTATTATTCAGCCGAGTTGACACACCGTGAAAATGTTAACGCAGTTCTGTTAACAGTTCTGCAACATTACAAATTACTGAAACATAAAGGCACGAATAGCCACAGTAGGCAGTAGGCAGTAGGCACAGCAGGCAGCAGCCAAAAAAAAACCACAACGCAAAATGAAACTGATCGAGTTTTTAAAAATTTATTTAAATAGCAGATGACATCAACTTAGCATAGTTTTTTTTTTTTTTGTTTTTTTTTGTTTAATATATTGTACAAACGAAATAAGGGAAATTTCTTTAAATAAATTGAAATTTTTCACAAGGCATTCGAAAAATTTTAATTACTTTTTAAATTCATTCGGAAGCAATAAAAATTTGATTTAAAAAATGTTTTTTGTGTAATATAAAGCAATAACATACGTATTTTCATATATCTCCGTCTTTTCTTAGCATCGTTAATGAGTGAACTACTCACAGCAGAGATAGCTTGGCAACAGTGAGCAGCAAGGAAGAGAGGAAGAGCGATAAAGGCGAAAGACGAAAATAAAGAAAGAGCGAACGAACGAATGAACGAGCGAGAGAAAGAGAGTGAGAGAGATAAATAAAGGCCGATAGACAGAGAAAATGAAAACTAGAAAAGCTTTTAAATTCTTTGAAATAAATCGAAAGCTAAGGAAATCACTTCCGTAACAATTTGTATTCGCTTTAAAGCAAAGTCCAGCATTAAGAATCGCTAACACAGAAAGATCATCTTTTAAAGAAATATTGAACAAAATATGATTTCTTATATTCTAGTTAAGCTCTGACGCCTTTAGATGATTTTTGGAAATTTGAGCAAAGTTAAGCGACCTTGTTGTTTTCCCATCAATAAATCCATTTTTTAAAACGTTCGCGAACTTGAAAATGTCCTGATTACTTTAAAGATTTTATATATGAGACACTGACACTGAGCGTGTAATGATTTATTTCGCCTACACAATCGACTGTTGGCCCTTTTGATAGCAAACGAAATCAATATTTGATTGGAACTTTAATAATTGAATGCTCAACAATTCTCTCTTCACAAAAACGAGGGTAAATCAAAAGCAATTATTCTCAACCGCTGGACGGACAAAATGGCGTTACTTTTTGACATTAATATATTTGAGATGTCAAGTCTATACATTGCCTTGGAAGAGTAGTCGACAAGAAATGAAATTTTAGACCCCATAGGTATAATTTTAACTCGACCACAGTATGTCTGACTTTGCGAGCACTCCGTCTCAATCAACAAAAAACTTCAATCAATTCGTCCCGTCTTCTTTCAATAGCTTAATCTTAAATGCTCTTAAAAATGCCCTTTTTCTTAAAATTACCTCAAATTTCAAACTTTTAAAACTGTCAGAGATGTTAGCAATGATCGTTGTCTATCTATCTAATTAAGGGAAGCTTTAATTGCCTTTGAATAATCTATAGCAATGATCTCTTATTGAAGATAGATTTTTTATAGAGCGTTGTAGCACGGTTGCATTTTTCAATTATTCGCATCTTGTAAAACACTCTATGAATTTGGCGTTTTTATAAACCTTGTTGTTACAAAATAAACAAATTGAACAAATTGAAATTGAATACGTGTTCTTAATATTTATAAAATCCTATCTTTCAAATGCATATTGTTGCCAATTGTCTACATTCCAATTACATTTTATTTTAAATTACATGTATCTAGAGGTTCGTATAATATCTACAATAATAATAATAATAATTGTTGGAAAAGTTTGCATCTTGCCTCGTCGCGGATGTTCATTATATATGCAATATGATTTTCTGACTATTCTTACACATACATACATTTAATCAGATATCGGACATCACAACTAATTTTAAAAGAAGTAAACATGCTACAGTAGGGAATAGATAATTATTAAATAACCCTCCGCCATCCCATCACACTTATCCGCATACCAACTTTTCAACATAAGGCCTTGTCTAGGAAGTAGTTAAAAAATTGATCCAATCCGAATTAGTAGCAATAGCGTTCGCTTTTGGATCAAACACGCCAGTGTACCAAATTTCATTAAAATATCTTAAAAAATGAGGCCTACAGGTGAAATAAGACGGACCGAGAGATAGATTATGTTAAATCGATTCAGTAAGCAATTCTGAATCATTCGGAATCAATAAAAGGTGGGTTTTGCGTGTTGCGTACGTCCGAGCAAACTTAATACCGCCTTGCACCGCGAGTGGTCTAGTGTATAAAAACCTTCCCTGTCTATTTCTGCAACTGGCTATAATCTTTTGCATCCACGAGCGCGTTAATATCATTCTTAAAACCATTCATACTCATCCATCTCTCTATACAAAAAAAATATTCCCATAAGCGTTTTGAATAAAGGCAATCGTTCTTTCAAAGACATCGTCCGTTTCTAGATTATATCTAATTCGTCTGAGTGGCCGATTAGGCAAAGAGCCTCGACGAACTACTCAATGATGGTGGGTTCAAATCTGCAGTACGTCAGAATGAGTTTTTAATAAAAACAGATAGCCTTTAGATGCTAGCGCTTTAAGCCTTTAGTCTTAGGATTTACTCTCTAGTAGTAATAATAATAATAGGTAACATCTCTGACCTATATATGTATGCACGGATAATAGGATAGTTTCTACGGGTTATTTTGTAGGCTATGTTCACAGCAGTGAAGGCAGCTAACCAGCCTGGATGTTATCATTTTCAGATATTCTTGAAGAAGAACTCTTTCAGATAAGAATCCCGCTGCTTCGTCTTAGAGATAATTGTTGCACTTAAGCATACCTTTCCTCAGAAACGGACATTACCCCTAAAAGGGAACGGCTGATTCATTCTTTTCATCTTTCTCTACCTATAATCCCTGCTAAGTGATCTCGCGGCCAAATCAGGCGTCGATTTCTTCAGCTCCTTCTTTTCGTCTTCAGAAATCTTCAGCTGAAGCGTCTGAAATACTCATTAATTATGCAAGATATGGAATGCTTTTACTTGCCTTTGTAGATGACTAGTTATTTAAACTTTATTTGATGCAACAATCATTTCCTGTTGCCGTTATAGGCAAAACGATTTAAATTGTACTACACTTGGAAAAATGTCTTCTGCAATGACTAAAAGATATAAGTAATTGAATTTATTCAAGCTTCTCATATTTCTTCAGTCATATCTACGTGAAAACGTTCACACATTCATTTGTTAACAAAATTATCCTTGGAACACTTAAAAGCAAAATTGATTTGTGGTTTACACAAATGCAATGAATTGAATTAATTTTTTATTTTTATCAAGAAATTTTTTGTTTTTTTTTTCTCAATAAAACTAAAGGGACGTTTTTGTTTTTTTTTTTGAAATTTGAAAATTGTTCCACATGTGATAATTACACAAATTTTTATTTTAACTTCATAATAAGTAGAGATTAATAAATGGAATCAATCAATCCGGCTATAAATAAATGATAGCGTGATATCTTTATACTTATACAATTGAAAATGAAAATGAGTTTTATTTC